TGGAAGTTCATTCGTCTCACCGCTTGCTCGTTTATCGTCGCCCGTGGACAATTCCACTTAAAGCACCGCTATGTTAAGCTAGCTGCTAGGCTAAGTTAGCTGCTAGGCTACTTCCATCTCAACATCTAACCTGCAGAGGACCACCACTGTGTCCCTAGAAGACGTGGTTTAAAACGTCCCGCTGAATGTGGGGACATTGTTGGACTAACAGCCATTAAATGATGGAGAGTTGAGAGCAAAGTGCACGAGGACAACAGGAAGAGTCGCTAGTTCAACATGTTCAACATGTTCCACCAGGTGGAATTCTGCCACCAAGAAGATCACGTTTGTAGTTTTGTGTTTAAAATAACATTACTATTTAACAGTGTCTTAAATACACACTTTCTAAAGTGTGTATTTATTACCTGTAAGATTTAGTCTTTAGAAGAAAAACAAACATTCATTAACAAGAACATTGTAACAATTCAATTCATTTCCATTTGTACAGCACAAAATCGCAAATTACATATTTGCCCCTGAGGGTTTTACCCCAAGAAGCCAAAATGACCCAGACGCCCCAGAATCGGGCAGAACACACTGGCCCACACGCTGCCGTCACACGGCAACAATCGAAAAATAACCGGCCCGAACACAGCGCTACAAAAGAAAGGAGTCGGCTCGGGTCCGGTTACCATCTCGGCCCGGGTCCGGTTCATGACTAGGCTGAGGCTCTGAATGACTCCCCAGAACCGGGTTCAATTTATTCTCCATGTCACAAAAACGCACTTCTTTTACTTACACACCAAAGCAGTGCTGATCACATTGTCCAGGCCCCTACAGGAGCGACCTTCTCTTCTGTCACATCACAAACGTACGCGTCACGAGGAGGAAAACGCAGCACGCCGACCCCGCGCCCGTCGTTCCGATCAGAGATTTTTGCGTCTTTGCTTGACAGATGACTGTTGTTCTTCTTCCACGGGGAGACGGGACCCAGCAGACTCTCTGAAGGGCTTTCCAGACGTTGCAGTGTAACAGCTGCGTGCTCCCCGAGGTCTCCTGCCCATCAAGATGGCGGTCGCTTCAGATTCTTAATTCTTAACAAAGTCAGAACTTTGTTTAACTTAAACTTATTGGATCGTTCCTGGGTGACTGCAGCACGAAATAGAAATAGACGCATTCAGTCAAAAACTCAAAAGTTCTCTGTGTCACAGTTACTCATCAGAGTCCTCGTCAAAGTTTGTCAAAATCCACCGTGTTCCCAAACCTCCGGCTGTGATCAATTATCCGTTTTATCTTGCGCTGTCAGTGCTCGGTTTTGTGGTTTTAAAATATCCAGAAGATGAGGTTTGAGAAGTGAGATAAGAGGAGTTGGCTGCACATCTGGTGGAAAGGAGAATGTGAAGCAGGAGAAGAAACCTGAGAGGAAGTTAATCTGTTTTCACGTCACGCTTCAGAACACCAGGCAGCAAGAAGCCTGGTTGTGATGTAGTCCTGCTGCATGTATTCACCCTCACTGTTCATGTGATCATAATGATTATAGCGCTGACCTCGGTGCAAATTTAGGCAGAAACCTGGCGCTGTTCCCATTAGAGACGGGCGTGTTGGGTTCTGATGGAGTGTGTGTGCGACGTGGACTCCGGATCCTGGTTCTGTAGCTCTGACGAGGCTCTCAGAGGTCAACGTGGGAGCTGCTTCTCCTGCTCTCAACCCCCCCAACAAACCAGAGGGCTGCAGACACAGAAAGGCCACGTTGCACTAAAAACACCTGGAATTACTGAGTGTAACACGGAAAACACACACGCGGCTTTCAGGGTCGGCTGGAATACGCAGACACACTCTCAGCTTTCACAGTGAATTACTGCACAACGCACACTGTTACCATTACAGACACACACAGAGCTTTCAGCTACTACTACCAGTGACATATAGAAATATATATACATATATATATATATATATATATATATATCTATTGTCAAACTTTAAATAATGTCAAAAAGACAAAGAAAATAAAATCTTAAATAATGTGTATTCTACTTAACGTCTATTATAGGTTTACTCCACCTTCATCCATGAAGTCAGTTTCTATCTTCAGATGAAAATGTGCACGCACACACACACACACACACACACACACACACACACACACACACACACACACACACACACACACACACACACACACACACACAGAGTGATACAGAGAAGTTCAATTCTATTGAATTAGTTTTTTTAGTTCGTTTATTCAAACTACTGAGACTGTTCAGCAGGCGTTCCAGCTGCTCTTTACATCTGGCCTCGTGATTGGAACTAAAGTGAACTCCTTGGAGTTTGTTACTCTGGGAGAGATCAGCGGATTCGGGGCGACGGTGGTTCATGGAGTAGAGACGGTGTGCCAGCTGCTCTATGTTGTCCCCGAGCAAGACCCCCAACCGCCACCTGCCCCCTGGGGCCAAATATAAGTCGCTTTGGATAAAAGCTAAATGACCTGCAAGGTTCAGCGGTTCTGACTGGAGCCGATATCCTTCTCTATATAGAACGTCAGGAGGAATGTGGAACACTGTGTTTTCTCCATTTGCTTATACGTTATCATTTCCAGTGCATTTTATTTTCGATAACACGCACACAAACACACTCACACACACACACACACACACACACACATAAACACACACACACACTCAGAGCAAAAAACAAACTCCACTAAAGATCATTCAGGCAGCAGAAACAATATAAATGCAGAATAGCTGTAGAAAGTGGACAGGGGGGATAGGAAGAAAGATCATGTGTGTGTGTGTGTGTGTGTGTGTGTGCGTGTGTGTGTATCATAGTCATCAGCGGCCTGCGGTGTTATTTTCACCACTTATTCAGATTGTTTTCCAGCTCTCTCTCTCTCTCTCTGGTGTCTGGCTCTGTTATTTAGCCTCCCCTTCTATTTTCGGCAGTGAGGGACACTTTACTGCTCAGCGCCGGCTCGGCTTTTGGGTTCGGGTCACCGAGCAGGAACGAATCCGCCCTTCACACCCCGAAATCTCATCTCACAGAGACGAACGTGGGGGGGCGTTAACACCCCCCCACGTTCGTCTACCTTTCCTTCTTCCAGTTCCTCCTCCCATTGTTCATTCCACCCGCCTCCTCGCCTCCTCGCCTCCTCTCCTCTTTCCTTCCTTGTATTGTTTGCTCTCTTTATTTCTCATCACATCCTCTTGTTTCTCTCCTGCCTTATCTCCTTTTTTTCTTCATCCACATCCTCCTCCTCCTCCTCCTCCTCCTCCTCCCATTCCCTGATCCATCGCCGTCTCCTCCTCTGTCTCTCGTTTCATCATATCGGAGAGTGTGAAATGTGAGCGCGTGTGTTTGGCTGTTCAGTGACGCTTTATTGACGTGTACGGACACGTCGCAGGCATGTAGACGACCTCTGACCCCAGGGACAGATTGGTTTCTTCTCTGTTTATGAGTTGTGTCATCATCACATTCCGGTTTGGACTCTTCCCATTAGATTAGAAACCCATCAGCTGTGTGTGTGTGTGTGTGTTACACTGATTGTTGATCAGGACTTTTCTTTTAATAATTGGTGGTAACTTGAGAAGAAGCCTGCTCACACACGTGGAGCTGCTTTAATCTGCAGGCCTTCGTCAAGTTCAAAACCTTCATGCATTCACCAACAGTCCGGAAAGCGCGTTTTATTGCGGGCTTTACTTCAGCAGCGTGAGATCATCTGTAGATATTCCCCGCATTCATTTAGTGAGTTGCCCTGAACATCAACGCTTGTTGCTGAACCTTTGCTGTAAAAATGAGCAGAAACACAACGTGGACTGTTTGTTCATGCTACCACACAACAGATCAAATGTGTCTTTCTCAGTGTCCAATGTTTAGCTGTTGTTTCTTATACGACAGCCGATACGGGCGACAACCTCTGAGTGACACAAAAAAGTTCTCTTTACCTTCGGCTACACAACAAGAGCCTGATTGCAGGGACGAATATGGGGAATTCTACTTGTCTGTTAAAGTGTTCATGAGCTTATGGTCTCAACCTCTATCCTGTCTTTTTCAATCAGTCCTTGTTGCAAACACTACACTGATATGTGTGATGGTGGATGATGTGTCCAGTTCAGAAGCACACGTATGTTACACATACAGGACGTTGTCTTAGTGGCTGGTCAGAAAAAGGAGACAAATAGACACACGTTCTTTTTTGGACCGTTGACTTTCTGCCGCCAGGCTCCTTCACAGCCGAACTCTGGTTGGTTCAGCAGCATCTGTGGAAGGCAGGTCTTCAACGGGTGCACGGAAGGAAAGACCAGAGCTCTGTGACCATCCGTCAATACGAATGTCGCTCCAGGACTTTGTCGGGTCGGCGGCTCGAGAACAAGAAATCTGTGGAAGTCCGTTAGAATCTAGAATAAAAAAATAATTGAAATGATCATCCTGAACAAACTATAGAAGAACGTCCATAAAGCACATGATGCTCATTTTGTTTCCATTGTCATTCTTAAGTGGTTGAAACAGATTTACCTATTCAGGGAAATGTGTCTTCCACTTTTATTCCAAAACCACATATTTCAACTTTGCAAAGAAAAAATGTCCTGACGTTGAACTACTTATTTCAATGTTTGAATGAATAAATGTCAGAAGGAGTGTTTTCAGTCAGATGATTTCTGATTGATGACTCAAGTCTTCAATTCTTCTTGCCTGTGATCTTCTCTACCGCTCTTCTTCCTCCTTTTCTTCCTCCTTGTCTCCTCCACGTCTCCTTATCTCATCCAACATTTGCTCCTTGTTTTTTATTTTGCTCTGCCTCCCGCACCTCCCCCCTCCACCTCCTCGCCTCCGCTTCTCCCCCCTCCCTCCCTCTCTCCCTCCCTCCCTGTCCTTCCTCCCCTCCCTGCCTCCCTTGTGAATGAACCCGTAAACAGAGCCCACGTCCCACTCAGTACCGACCCGGCCCCACACTCCTCCTGCTCCTGCTCCCTCTGGCACCCCTTTGACTTACTACTCCTCCTCCTCTGATCCCCCACCAGTGTCCCCCAGCCCGGGCGTTACCCTCCCCTCTGCCCCCCGCGACCTGGTCCCTGTCCTAGTGTCCAGCCGCTTTGTCCGGCTCAGCTGGCGCCCCCCGGAGGAGGCCGGAGGAGTCGTTCAGACCTACGGCATTTACTACTCCCAGGACGGAGTCGCCAGGTAGGATGTTCACACAAACTCCCTCTACTTATCTGTTTTTGTTTTAGGGAGCAGATTTGTTATGCAGGTTGCATAGCAAAACGTTCAAAATCTGACCGATAAATATTGTTAAAATAATCATGAATGAATTATTATAACGGCAGATCTGTATTTCCTGTGTGAGGATATACTGGTGTGATGTCTCCAGTCAGCCCCTCGGCCACCCAGTGACCTCTGTTAGCACTCTGACCACAGTTTGCATGTCAGATGCTTCTGTCAACAACTGTGAAGACGGAACCAAAAGAGACAAAATGTGAACTCAGTCCTGAGTTTTAGGACTCATTCCTGCAGCTCTATATCGATCAAATCAAAGAAAACAAGATATGTGAGGCTTTCAGCTCTGAGACAAAATAGTGGTTATTTCTTCCACGAACGATGGTGAGGCTCCATGAAGCTAAGCCGCCTTCCACAAACGGTCCCGCAAGTAAACCCCTGTGACTAACACAACGCAAAAAACTCCCCGTTACCATTCATCCTGGGCTCACCAATACTCACACACTGCCGGTGTACTGGTGTCCCACATCTACTTGACCACGAAGGTGATCCTCTTCCTGCGGCCCGAGGGAACACAGTGGACGAAAAGCACCATTGCGTTCCATCCTCTAGGGGCCACGAATTGCTCCTTCTTCCGATAGTTGCTGAGATGTTTTAGTCAGAACCGGACCGACAGAGCGAGCATCTGTAGATGTGGTAGCGTGGTATGTGCGTGAGCCGTGTGAGCCGCAACACTGCACAACACAGTGGAGGTCTCTTAAAGGCAACACTTCCACTTAATAACAGCTCCGCTGGAGCGCTCTGCAGTAAAAGCTCTGTGTGACACATTGAGTCCCCCGATGATGCTAAATAGTAACCTCTGACAGCCGGGGCTCCAGCTGAAGGCTTTCACACCCGGCTTTTAAGCTTTGTTACCTCAGGGGCCGGCCGGCCTGCGAGCGCTTCAGGCCTCCGTCCGCCCGACCAGAGAGCCACGGAGGTCTCCTCAAGAGAGGAGAGATCGTTTCCTACAGAATGACCTACAGAAGGAGAGGAGGTCTCCTCAAGAGAGGAGAGATCGTTTCCTACAGAATGACCTACAGAAGGAGAGGAGGTCTCCTCAAGAAAGGAGAGATCGTGTCCGTCCCAATGACCTACAGAAGGAGAGGAGGTCTCCTCAAGAGAGGAGAGATCTTGTCCGTCCCAATGACCTACAGAAGGAGAGGAGGTCTCCTCAAGAGAGGAGAGATCTTGTCCGTCCCAATGACCTACAGAAGGAGAGGAGTCTCCTCAAGAAAGAACAGATTGTGTCCGTCCCAATGACCTACAGAAGGAGAGGAGGTCTCCTCAAGAAAGGAGATGTCTTGTCCGTCCCAATGACCTACAGAAAGGAGAGGAGGTCTCCTCAAGCGAGGAGAGATCGTTTCCTACAGAATGACCTACAGAAGGAGAGGAGGTCTCCTCAAGAGAGGAGAGGTCGTGTCCGTCCCAATGACCTACAGAAGGAGAGGAGGTCTCCTCAAGAGAGGAGAGATCTTGTCCGTCCCAATGACCTACAGAAGGAGAGGAGGTCTCCTCAAGAAAGAACAGATTGTGTCCGTCCCAATGACCTACAGAAGGAGAGGAGGTCTCCTCAAGAAAGGAGAGATCTTGTCCGTCCCAATGACCTACAGAAGGAGAGGAGGTCTCCTCAAGAGAGGAGAGATCGTGTCCGTCCCAATGACCTACAGAAGGAGAGGAGGTCTCCTCAAGAGAGGAGAGATCTTGTCCGTCCCAATGACCTACAGAAGGAGAGGAGGTCTCCTCAAGAAAGAAAGATAGAGATCCTTCCTCTGTAACAAGAGAGAAGGGAGGGAGGTAAAACAATGAGCACCATAGTAGAGAGGGAGATGGCAGGAATGGAGAATGACGATGATGTATTATTAGATCAGGAGAGAACCTTGTGTCCTTTCTCTGACCTTGGTCCCTCTCTCCTAATGCTGCTGATCGTCGGCTTGTCTGTCCAACGCTCTGGTCCAGAGACAGACATCTGCACCTAGACTGGCACGCTTGTGCTGTGGTCCTCCACAGTAAGCGGAGGATTGTGGAGATTGACCTTCAAATTACCACCTAAACTTTCCCTTTTCAATGACAAACAAAAGACGAATGTAGCCACAGTTGTTTTTGGAGCTTCTGGAAATCATTAGATGATCTCTGCTTGTTGCTCCAATAAACCTTTTCCTTGACAGCAGTAATGCTGCGGTGGGAAAAAAAGGTTCTACTCGTTGTTGTTGGATCATTTCTTTCGTTTTCATGGGCTGTTTTAAATAAAGTCTTTTTTTCCTCTGCATGAGATCAGTGCGAGAAAGACAAGACATGGAGCTGCAATAGAAATCTACCGGGACGGAGTTTCACATCAGTTTTGTGTCGGAGGATTGAGGGGCTGCAGATGTGCTGTAATCTGTGGATTAGCTGCAGTTACTGCAGGATTACTCAAAAGACATATGATTAGGGCCCAGATTATCTCCAGTGTTAGAAATAAAACGGCAACTTCCTTTGAAAACAGTGCTATTGGATATTCTTATTGAGATAAGTAGAAAAGAAGGAAAATAAATAATGATGACATGAATAAAAAAGAATATGTGAGATTTGGTCGTCATCATGAAGGTTGTGAATACAACCTGTGCTCACTTTGCGTTCAAGGGTGTGACGCTGCGTTTTCCTTTTGCAGGGAGCGGTCAGTGAACGTGTCAGAGCCGGAGTCTCTGGAGCTGATGGTCTCTAATCTGAAACCGGAGGAGAGCTACAGCTTCAGAGTCATCGCTTACAACGACGTGGGGCCTGGAGAGAGCTCGGCCCCCCTGAGAATCACCACCAAACCGGACCGTACGGCACACACACACACACACACACACACACACACCAAATCAACAATGGTGGCCTTGTTTTGCTATAAGCACACATTGCTAGACTAGAGACAGGGTTTACAGTGACTGACCGGGAAGAGCAAGAGGCCCTGAACTTCAGCGATGAGGTTCCTCCTGTCCGTTGGAGGCATAAAGTAGTGATGGCTGCTTCGATGCGCTGAGCGGGCAAAGTGACCCAAATCACAGCACCAACAATGCTGCGTAACAAACAGGTGCATGCTGTAACCACCAGCTTGCTGCATTGCTTATGGTGGATAATCCTCATTTTCACTGACCAACTTCCACCAGTGTGGCGATTCTACTGTTTGAGATAATAATCCTAGACTCATTCGGGGGCTCTTTGCGGCATGCTGGGTGGTGGGTGATTGAAAGGACATGATTACTCAATTACCAGGTATTTTAGATTTATTGGGAAAAACAAAGCACTCCTATGTAATACCAGATATTCAACACCCCCATTTAGCCAGAATGGAATGATCCTTTGCGACTATTCACAGTCCCCTCAGATGAATTATTAAGACAAACCAAAGCAAAACATTAAAAAAATAGTTTTTAAGGTATTTATAATGTATGTATGACCCTCCAATAACAATTTGAAAAGCGCTCACTGCTGCAGAAATGGGCCGACAGTCAGTGGGCAGTACCAGTATCTGTGTACGTGCGTGAGCAGTGTGTCTCTGTTTGTCTCTCGCCAGTCCAAGTTCCCAGCAGAGTGGAGTCCCTCCAAGCCGAGGCTCTGTCCCCCACCTCCGTCCAGGTGAGCTGGGACCCTCCAAGCCAACCCAACGGCCCCATCCTGGGCTACAGACTGCTGTGGACCGAGAGCCCGTCCGCCAAGGAACAGGTCAGCAACGCGTCGAAGGAACACCTCCACCCGTCACTTTACCAGTCGGAAATCAAATGTGATGCTAAAGAAAATGATATTGGTGAGCGTAGTCCAGTATGCGTCTGCCGGGTACCAATGACTCTGCTCAGGAAAATACATCCTGGAGTCGACTGCTTGCACACACGCCACGCGCATGAAGAAGAGGGATTTTTTCACTCTCTGTTAACGTATAATTAGGTACTTCATACAAACGTGAGCTTACATGAGGACATCGAAGGGGAAAAATCAGACCAGCAGCACTTGTCAAAACATTGAATTGATTATGATTCTGTTGGGGAACAATATATTGGACTAGATTGTCTCTTACATCACACGTGCACTACAGCAATTTGTCACAGTGTGTTGTTGTCATTCATGTTCATGCACGAGTGTGTGTGTGACCAATGTACATGGAAGTGTGTCTAATCTGTGCTTGTGCTCAGAGTGTGGAGGTGAACGGACTCAACTACAAGATGGAGGGACTCAACAAGTTCACAGAATACACAGTTCGGGTTTCGGCGATCAACCGCTACGGACCGGGCCCGGCGCCGGAGACCGCCAGCGTCACCACCCAATCAGACGGTGAGCCCCGCGTTAGCGTGCCCCCATCCAGAAGACGCACGTACTTCAGTCAGTGATGATGACGCTCATGTGGGTTAATGAGTCGTCACTGGGGAGTCGGAGCAGACGAAGGGGGTCAGTGGTGAAGCCGACCCAGGAGCTGCTCGGCTGCTGAGGATGACGTTCTCAGTCAGTTGGGTCACGCTTGTACAAACAGTTTTACTGAACCCTTAAAAAAATGACAATTTTAGTCCTTGAATGTTATATTTCAAAGTGATATCAAAATAAAACTACTTAGATTCAGGTAAAGTAAAACTCTTATTGAATATATAAATCTAAATTAATACCCATAAGAAAGGTCCCAGCGTCTCCAGTACAGAGACCCCCCCCCCCCTTCTCTGTGGATACTGCTTATACTCTACGTCTTTATTAGTGTAAATCTACCAATAAGTGGTTCCAGCTTCAGGGGTTTACGTATTAATGGACCACAGGTTGGATCCATAATATCTGCTCTGAACAGAGCCGCTGTGACTCAGACGGGTCTGTTGTGGTTAGCAGACGTCCACAGGAGGACAGTGAGGAGAATGGAGGCGTCGGCCCATCTGCCGTCGCACCGGGAAAAGCATCTTTAATAACACACACAGATGCAGAGAGGCTGTTCAGTGAATCTTCCGTCTGCGTCTCTATGATAACAATGGCCGTGCGGCTAATTGAATCCACAGTAAAAGTGACACGCAGCAGCTGAGTCAACAGATAAGCTGCCGGCGGTTAATCAGGCGTCTGGTCGGACGGACGCGGCAGCACGCAAACCAAAAAAACACGCTTTGATTCTCGAATTTTGGGCGTCTCCGAATCGCGTGGCCGCTTGTCTCCGGCCTCTTCATCGTCCTGCTGGTCCTCCTCTTCCTCCCGTCTGTCGGCACATTTGTTCTCTTTTTGTCAACGGCTCTTTTTCTTCATCTGTTTGTGCTTCCCGCTCGTCACTTTTCCTTTCCTTGTAGATCTCGTTTTCTTCCCCTTCTCCATCACTGTGTTTGTCATCTTTACTTTCCCCCTCCGCATTCTCCGTTATTCTATTTATTTTTCTATTCCTCTTCTTCGCCTTCAGCTCAAATGTCCTTTTACGTCCTTTTCAGCGATCTCCTTTGTGTTTGTTTTGTTTCCTCTTCCAGAACCGACTGACAGTTTGTGTGTGTCTAATGACACCTGTCATGCATCCCGTCTTGTTGAGCTGCGGTTCCACATTCAGATCTCGGAGGGCGAATTCGTCGCCGCCTCTGCCGATATCATCATCATCAGGGTGATTGATTGACAGCAGTGATCAGCCAGGCGCTCAGCCTGATGATAATGAGTGAGTTCAGGTCCAGTGTCCTCTGAGAAAAACAAACTCTTCACTTTGTGGATGAGTTTAGCTTAGCACAAAGACAGGAACTGTTAGCTCACAGGAAGAAATACACCGCCGACTTCCTCCTGTGCAATTCAGTGTATCCCAAAATGTCCAATTGCTCCTTTACTGCCCGACTTCACATCCGAGGTATCTTCAGTAATATAATGCAACCTCTCGTGGAGAATTTCTCTCACCAGCCTGACAAAAAGAAAAGAAAATGAAGTTGGGATCCTGTGCAGCCGCTCAGACTGTGAAAACCTGGTGTCCCAGCTGCACTCAGTTACATCAAGATGGAGAGAGCTTTTTGCATGTAAAACAAACACACAGCAGATAACTGTGCAGAGGAATTACTCCACTTATCAAACAGAAGGGCGGTGAGTGGCAAACTTAAAGCACTGCTATGCTAAGCTAGCTGCTATGCTACTTCCATCTCAAAATCTAACGTTACCGTGCGCGGCACACAGTCTGCAGAGGACCACCACTGTGTCCCGAAAAGGCCGTGGTGTGAGGACGTCCTGCTAAATGTGGGGAGATTGTTGGCACTTGTTCCTCCCCGGTGGAATTCTGTCTCCAAATGTGTGTAGTTTTGTGTTTAAAAAAAACATTAACAATTAAACAAGTGTCTAAAATACACACTTTCCAAAGTGATTAGGCTACTCATTACTTTTAGATGTAGTCTTTAGAAGAAAAACAAACAAACAAATTCATTGAAAACAACAACATTCTTTAATCGCTATTAATCGAGATAAATTAATTAATTAATTAGCGATTAATTAGTTAATTTTTCTTAATCTATTGACCGCCCTAAAATAAATAGAGACTAAAATGTCCTAACTCTCCGTCAAATCATTATCAGCTATTAGAAGAGCTGTCAGTCTAACTGGCCGCCGGCTCTCAAAGTGCCCGTGGAAGAATAAACCGCGCTGCGCTGGCGTACCGACTCGACCATTAACAGCAGCCATGTTGGTTTACGGTCATGATGAGCGTTTTGGGGGAGTGGTTTTGGAGGGAGGGGTGAGAAATCAAGGTATCACATTCGCCCTGCTAGATTTAGCTAGTTTCATTTGAACAAGGTCATTTTATTTATTAGTGATTTTTTTAATCCACCGTACTCAAAATGACCCACCCTTTCTTACATATTCAGCATATTCTTTGGAAGGTTATATCTATACAATGTGAACGTGAAATGAGCTTTTGGAGAACACATCACTGGGCCGATGCTCAAGCTTCCTTGTTTGTATTTATGCGTGGTAGTAAGAATGTGTAGGGTTTAAAAAGACAACATTACAGACTACATCAAGCCTGATGGAGTGAAAGTGTCCTGTTTCATATAAACAGTATAAGAGAACTTTCTGTTGTTAAGCAACAAAATGAACGCGGCTGGTGAGGTAACGTGAGCAGCTGCTTCTCTCTAATCTTAAATATTAACATGGTTTCTTCTCTTTGTCTTTGCAGTACCCAGCGCTCCTCCCCAGAACATCACCTTAGAGGTTGTCCTGTCCAGGGTGAGTCCTCACACCTTCATCCCCTCCTCTGTCTGTGCACATCTGGACACTGCACCACCAACGCAGTCCCCTCAACCAACCGCTCTATTCCTGGTGGTGTGAACTGAAAGAGTAGGACACTTTATCGTAGGGAATATTACTACTTTAGAAGTTATTTCACTTTAACTGTAATAAGGACATTCAGCAGCACTGGGGCTCGTAGCCTAGACAAACCATTTAACGTTGAAAACACACCATTTCCATGGGGTCCCACCTGTCACGTTCTCCCTGTCATCAGTCACCAGTTCTCTCGGGTGGTCTGGCCTCATTGTGCCGATGGATGTGACCCGTGTCCAAAGATGATCCGCGTGTATGTTTTCTGTCCAATCTGCTCCATGTGATTAATTGGACGTAACATATTTCCATGGTCAAAAACCCGCTGACCTCCAAGCGCTCTGACAAACGGTGAACTGGGTCAGGCGTCCTACAGCCGTCTGAAAGCGTCTGTCTGTGTTTAAAAGAAGGTGCTGAGAAGCACAAAAACAAAGAGGTCCATTTCCCTTCAGTGTGACACCGTTTGTCTGTGCTGTTAAATCAACAACTGATCGCTGACTGCTTGGAAAGGTGGACTCTGGTTTGTTTGTGGTGTGAAACAAACCAGCCACAGGACTTTAAGATAGCAGATACCTGATTATCATTTCAGCCTGCTACATGCATGAGGCAATCAACAAATCATATAATCCTTTAGGTTAAAATAACTATGTTGACTATATTGACTTGAGGTGTCAAAGCAGCTGTAAAAATACAACAGGGCGTGAAGTGCATTGGTTAAATGTGTACAAATGACCAGAATAGTGCTTGTTGTGAATAGGACCTGTGTATGCTGCTAATCTGAGTTGTGGTAGTTGGTGCACTGGACTCAATGCTGTCTGCAGCGGCAGCAGATGCTGCGATGCTGTGGAGGATGTTATGGTCTCTCAGTGCCCCATTGCCCCCGTTTCTCTCAGTAATAACTTATTCTTTGAGTCATTACTCACAGTCAAATGTGAACACACAGACTTAATGCATCCTTCTCTAGATTCAGCGGGAACTCCACTGGGAACAGATGTCCGTAAATCACTCAGAAGTTTTACCTCCAGTAGCTTTGTTTGAGTGGCAGCACAGAAGAGTGCATTGCAAACGGGGAATGCTTTTAATGGGGCCAGTTTGCCAAAATATAGAAATGTAAGATGGAAACCGAGGCCCACAGTGACTGAAGAGGGAAAAAGGTTGATCGACTGTGATGTCATCCAAGGAAAATGAATTATACAGCAGCAATGCAGATACAGCAGAGGACTTTGAGTACATACGTGTGTAAAACATTTAGAGATGGAAACAAACCAAATACGCTCTTGGCAGTTGGGCTGACAGTCAATAAATAAACAGCCAATTACAGCTGTGTTCCCTTGAATATTATCACGCAACATCGCAGACACACTTTTAACGGCAGAACACGTTGTTCATTTTCAAAGACATCTTTTCATTGTGAAAAACATTCCGATCATTGTCATCTCCGCGCTGCCTCCGGGTCGGGCCACATTTACATGGGAGTTGGAGCTTTCACAGGAATAATCCTGCCGCGCAGGCAGAATGTGTGCCGATGATCCGGAGGAAATGGCCCTTTGAGGTCTGAAGGGGAAACGTCTGCTGCAGCACAGCAAATGATCTCCCGCAGACCAGGTCTTCACTTGTGTTCACTTGAATGTGTGTGTGGGACAGCTCTACCGTGCACGAAACCACCGCAGATCCATTACTGTGTGATTGAAGTGTCGGCTCCGAACATTAAGATGATCAGTGGAGGGGCTCGACAAATGATGCAACTCACATCTGCAGAACTCCTCCTGCAGATGTGATCCTGCGGCTGAGGGTTAACAAAAGGGGGTTGCTTTGGTTCTGGTTTAAACAGCTACATTACAGTAACTGCCGACGCCATTTCCACAGGAGATTATATCCAATCAACTGATGATAATTTATTGTGCAATTAATACGTTTAAAAGTACAACGTGCATTTATGGTCTTTTATCAACCAGGGTTGAGGAATCTTTTTCACCTTGAAAGTTTTGCAAGATCAAATACATTTGTTTTACCAAATATTCTCATGGTGTTCATCAGCCTTGCTGACGAAACTAAGCTGTGACGTGTAGATTCATGAACATACTACATACAAACGTTTAATGCAGAAAGCGCAGACAACACAGCTAAAGGGGAACAAACGTCACACTGATGTGTGAAGATGTGAACAGGAACGTTGGATAAACAGTGAACGGGTGCGATCGACCTCCTGGATATGGATCAGAAGGGCTCTGGTGAGACTAGAACAAGATGCTGCCGACCTCTAGTGGACGCCATCATCACGAAGGGAGCAAGACAAAAAGCCAAGATGGCGACGGACAAATGGTTGAAGTCGAGGCTTCAAACTGAACAGAAGCGATGGGTGACATTCGTTGACTACGGCCATTTGTGAAATGCCTGAAGAGGTTTCCTTCGTCAAATAACAAGGTAGGTAGGTAGGTACAGTTTGGCCGGTCTGAAGGTTTCAAGCGGTAGAGACAGACAATTATAATGCAAATTCAGCGTATTCGTTTCAAAGAGCTGAACACGGCTCAAACACATATATAAGCTGTGCATTGAAACCGTGAAATTTGCTTTTTAGCTGGTTTGAGAAAATGGAAACAAGGTGGAGGGCACCTTGGGCTTGTCCTTACAGCCCCCACCAGCATCCAGCTCCGCCTTCAGTTCTCCCCATTTATCATCAAGTAGTTTAATCCCAAAGCGGTGGAAGTTAGCGGAGTGTGCTCACAGTGCACGGCCACAGAGAGGAGGTGCACGCTGACCTCATTTAGTCTCTGTCTGCTTATTTTCCTGCCTGTGATTGATAATTGTCTGCCGCTTGGCTCTCGGGTCGGGGCTGATCAATCAGTGGTGTCGCAGCATGACATTCAAGCCTCAGGGTGCCAACTTAAAAGGGCTTCCTCTTTTTCAAATGTTGGCTGATGCAAATTGGGGAATAAAGATGAACTCTGAATACCAAACAATGTAAAACTATTGTGGTATTAATGCGTTTTCAACTTGGCGTGCTGCTCAATGCTCGCGTCAAAGCAAAAGTCAGTCATGACTTGAAACTTACAGATGTGTAACAAAGCAACTCATTTTAACCACGTGCGAAACCTTCAGGAGCAGAGACCCGGGCTGCTGAAAGATAGAAGTATGAGAATAGCAGCAAGTAGCTGACTTCCCCTCCTTGCAGCCTCAGCGCTAAAACTCATCAGAGCCTCAGCGAGTCCAACATATCCGAGCGTGAGAGCTCCACTGCAGCTTCTGGGCTTTAATAAAAGTCTTAACTCAACTCCTTGCTGCTTCCTGGTCACTGCTGAATTGCATGCACACGGCGCAGTGTGTGTGTGTGTGTGTGTGTGCGTGCAGCTCGCCACAGAAGGAGAAAATGTGAATCTTTCTGCTCTCCTTACGTCTGCGCATAAAACTTTTCAGACGAATCGACTTCCCTCCAGCGACGGTGTCGTCAGTGTGCGTTTTGCGTGTCTTGCAAATGCCTGTTTGAAGACGAGCAGAACACACGTGGTTTCAGCCGGTAGTTCTCCAGCCCGGGTCACCGTTCGGGCTCCGGAGCAGCTGCTCGGCTCGGCCCCGGCTGTGGATCGGCCCTGTTGGACTGATTAAGCCTCCCTGTGTCTCTGCAGGAGTCACATGCGTTCATCTGCAGGACCTGGAGACTCATTCCTTCATTAATTAAAGGGGCCGCTGAGCGCCGTGTGAAGTGTTCATCTGACTCTGAGGATGATGAAAACGGATCCGTTATGAAAACTAAGTTAATATCTGTCTGCAGGAGGCCGTTCAAGTCATCATTCTTTCTGGTCTTTCAACAAGGATTCATTGTCTCTTCCCGTCGACACATTTCTTCTGAGCATGTTCTTTTTTACACGTATTCTTTTGGAGGCTGGCGGTCCAGGACGGATGGAGGCAGCAGGACGTAGCTGTTCTCTCACCTGCTTGTCTTCATTGTTTAATACTCAGTAGAACACATTCAACTTCAATGTGTTGACAGAAATCCAGAGCTGTTCTGAATTCTCCTCTATGCCTCCGAGGCCAGTGAATGAATATTTGAATAGTGCAACAGGAACTATAGTAACAGCATGTTTTACCATTATGCATGCATGAGAATATCCTGTAAACACACATGGACAAACCCCACGTCCTTCCATAGCATCCATGAATAATACACATATTGTGTCCAAAAAGACATTGTCATCATTCAAAACAGACTCAATTATTTAAAAGTCTTTCCTCTCAAGCTTCAAAGGTCATTCCTGCAGAACATGATGACCAGACTGAACGTCTTCTGGCTTTTTTCTGGAATGACATCTTGATTTAACACAGTTTCACTGGCTGCAGTTATTTGGACATAGTTTGTGATCCATTAACCGCTTTAGTGGAGGAAAGAAGAAAGTTTCAACATACAAAGCTTGTCTGTAAAAAAGTGCTGATGTCTTGTGTGATGTCATTCATTCAGTCGATTAGTATGAGATCCATTCAGCCATTCATCCGTTCATTAGTTCATTATTCTTATGTCACTCTGCAGCAGATGATTGCGGTTAATCATCTCGGAGTCCCTCGCTCAGATAATTAGCGAGTAGAGTCGCCGTGGTAACGGGATGATTACACCCTCGGGAACATTAAAACGAACGCATCATCATCGGGTTGGTGTCACTCATCAGCTCTGTTTCACCCTCAAACCGACAAGCTCTCCTCTAGATCAAGTGTCACTCAAACTCCAACTGAAGCTCCGCCCACCTCGTTAGGAGCACATCTTCCGATTTGTCAGAGTGGGACTGCGTTCCGGACCAGGACCAGGACCAGGACCAGGACCAGGACCAGGGAGTTTCCTGTGACCAGAAGGACACAGGTTTCAACCTTTTCCCCGCCGGAATATGGTTGAATGTTCCGGTATTCTCGGATGAAAAACA